ATAGCAGCAGTAGCAACATCAACAACTACGAAATAAAATCCGTTGCAAAAATTTGTTGGCAATATTCGGTGCACAATGTTGCTTATGCTTGGAGCTATATCCGCCGAAACAGAGTAAAAAAAATCGGAACGAGAACGACTAAAGAACATACCAGATTGACAATGTTGAAAAGTTTTACCACATTTTCTCAATAAAATATGCAAAATTCATATGTAAATTTTCCAATTTGCATGCGCATGCTTTTTTGTTCTTATTCATTGAATCATGCATGACACTTTCGTGCCTTTTCGCTGACAACAACGACAACAACAGAAGAAACCAATGATTTACGCGTTATTTTTCTTTTGACTTAATGCGAATCAGACGTGATGATCAGCGCTACATTTTAAAAGCTTTATTGTTATAGTGTGTGCATTTGGCTTGATTCGTTTCGACTTCATAAACGATAAATGTTATGGCCCTATTCATCATGATATCCTATCCATTTACGTTCCCTACGATGTTTGCCACGATAGCGATGATACAATCGCGACGGAAATGGTTGGTATTTGTGGCATAAAATCAATATTACTTGTGTATAAGTTCACTTGAAGACGACACTAGATATCCGATGATTTCCTTGCAATGGAAGACAAAACTATATTCTCTCGTGCCAAATGGCTAATGTGTTTGTTATTAGATGTTAATACAGTACATATGCCGCAAATTAAATTCAAAGTCATTTCGAGGGATAACATTGATGACATTACATCAATACCACTCTCGAATGAAAACGTATATAAGTTTGAACATAGCAATTTTCTTCAACTAACTGTAGCAAATGATAACATTTTTAAAGCTCCTAAAGGGTAAAAAATATGGGAAATGTGTTTATCATCACTTCCTTTTTGTGTCATTGCCTTCGCATACAAAATACAAAATATTTGGTAATTCTCAAGCGTCCCAAATCAAACACGAACGTTTATTCAGTGCATGTCAATGTATGTCATGACGCCGATGACTTGATGGATTTGTTCTCTTGCTTTTATGGTGATCCAAACAATTCGGTGCGTGATTTTCTCGAAAAATTATCAATGGTAAACGAAATTCAATCGATAAATCAGTGTTTATAGCATGACCGAACGGTCTTCCGCTCTCATTCTCTCGGCACTTCATTTCGTTTGAATAAAATTTGACCTATTCATCACATGGCATTTCAATATACAATACACATATATACATAAGTACACACGTTTTGTATTGGGGAGAACAAAAAATACACGCTATCTCCATATCAACAACACACTTTCATTGCGTTGTAGTATATTTGTCCATTAATTTATCGAATTTGGGAAAATGTGATGTCGATGACAGGCCACAAACGAAACAACACAATGCTATCCATCTCATTGTCACATTGTTATACGGTGCCACACATAAATTAGCCGCATGCTCGCCACAAAGTGCACACATACACTCTCACATCCAATTCAATACATTGCGTGAAAATAAATGCTTGCTAATAAATTATCCAACGTGTTTCTTTTATAAATATCAAATCGTACCGGTTGTAATCGGGTGAGTGTGACTTTTACTGAACACAAGCGATGTTTATTTTGGATGTTCTGTAACTAACTAACGAACCACGTAAAATGAATATATTTGGAGACGAAAAAAAATATGCAGTAATAATCAACAAAATATTTACGGTTAGTGGACTTACAACTAAAACTTTTTCTCATTTATCATGAGTTCGATGCCAACAGAGCCAATTTCGTACTTAAAAATTTTTTTTGAGCAAATTACAATGTCGCATATAGCTGTGTATGTAGCGGAGTTAATTTGGATACATTTTATGTGCACATCTTTGTATGCACCAATGATTTTGAGTAAACGGAAATTTCGAAACAATCGAGAATCGCATTTTATTTTCAATTTTTATTCGAAACTCACAATTTCCACATCGACGAAAAAAAAATAAGAATTAGATGACTACATACCAAATAGAATGAAATCGATTATTTGTATACAAATCAACAATGTAAACATCAAACTCGTGCTCGAGTACTTTATCTTAAATAAACTAGATTTTACTAAAATGCATTGCGAAGCCATTAGTTTCGTTGAAAAAAAAAAGAGTTGTAGCCGCGTTTTCTATCATTGTTTGAAATAGTAAATATATACTATGTGAGTCATGTATATCCAAAACATTTAATCGGCACAAAACCGTTCCATATTGCAAAAATCACATTCAATTTCAATCAGAACGCAGATAACAGAGGCATAGAAAAGTATAAAGTACTTTAAAATACAGAAAAAACTCTGTAAAATATAATAGAACAATTCGATTTTATAGAAAAACAGAGCCGATACCTTATTTCGAAGGAAGAAATTCAAATTAATTTATATTACAACGCCGTTATAAAAAAGTTTAAGGGATACTTAGTATCGAAGAGCGAAAAGTACACTTATTTTCAAAGATAATTATCAAAGGATCTTACAAGCTACGCTAAAAACATAAAAGATAATGAAAGGTCACAAAATGAAAGGTCTTAGTAATGAAATTTTAAGCCATAGTGATCGACGTGTGTTTGTTTTTTCAAAATCATCTCCTATCTACCAGTTTATCATTATAATATCGCACATCCAATTTCAAGAGAGGGAATCATCATCATCCGGTATGATATAAATCTATGCGATTCATTTCTGTCGGCACAAAATATTTTTTTTTAAATCTTGCCTTTTTAATACCAATAAATGTCTTGTTCGTTCCTGAATGTTCATGCTATGATTTTTATGATGTCATATTGTACGCATACAAAAGCGTCGACATTTTTTGTGGATTGAGTCAAAAAGTTGTGTATTTTTTTATTTTGCTTTGCACTCTCCCCTACTCTCTGAACAAGTGAAAAAGTGCGATGATCGAATCGGCGAAGCACATAAAAAACCTTTTAGTAATAGTGAGAAAAAAAAGAGAAGAAGAAAAAAACAAATGATACATGCGAAAAGAAGAGAAATGAATTTGCCGTTTTTCTCACTCTATCAAAATGTAAACATTTGGCAAACCTGGAGCCTGTTAAATGATGATCTGAAAGTATATTTACTGTTGCGTTCAAAAACGAGTTCACCAGTGAGAAGAGCAAAATATTATACTACATATATATAAAATAAAAACGAAACGAAATGGCATAAAAAGTGGAAAGATAAAATTAAGCGGGCACGTTTGTTTATTTTGTTCGTGTCTGTGAGTGTATTTATTTCGGACCCACCATAAAATATACAACACATAACAGACCGATCGACCGACCAAAGAATCATCGTTGCCACCATTCAATTCGAAAGGAACACGCAAAAATTAAACGATTTCAACCAAAGCGTGTGTGCGTATGTGTTTAGATATAATATTCATATGTATATAATATGTTCAACGCATAATTTATTACCATCTCGTTCTCAAATGTTCGTTCGATATGAACGGCAAAACCGAAGGAAGCGCAAAGAACACGAAGACGAAAACAAAACAAAAAGTCTCAAAACGAACACATAAAATCAATTTCAATGTGTCGGTAGTAGTAATGCACGCAAAAAAAAAAAAAAACATCGAGTTTAAATCACACAAACATACGCAAAAAGTGTCTTAGCGAACCGCTGACTGAACGGCCAGCCGAACATGCAATGAATAAGTATATAATGTACATGAAAAAATCATACATTTTAATACGAGCGTCGATTGAAAAACGCTCACGAACCTCATTCCATCCCAGGCAACAGCCAAACTCTAGCACACGCATTTGCAATTACACTACACACGCATTGCGAACGATATCGATTAGCGAGTCCACAGCCATAGAATATAAAACAGGCAACACACGTTTCATGTTACATACAGCAAATCCATAAAGTGGAAAAACAACGACAACGACCAAAACCTATATAGAATTCGTTCATAGTAAAGTGGTGTACGTGTTTTGTGTGGTAAATTACGTGCTCCCGTAATAAAATCCGTATACATTCGTATTTCGACAATCGATTTTTTTTCTCTCTCTTCTCTTTACATTTTCAGTTGAACCAATACAGTTACACATTTAGCGTAAATGATGATTCAATACACATGCATACCGTATTGTCGTTGTCGTCGTCATTATTCGGCACTTAGCCAAGCGCAACGAAAATGCGATTCGATAAAACTGATGATATGACTCACTAGTACAGCGGCACAAATGCCGTTTATTTCTACGTCACATTAGCAATGTGTGCAATGCTCGGTCTACAGCCACAAACACATCCGCAATCATTTACCGATACGCAAACAAATCCAACCTGGCGACAACATGCACGTACACACGCAAACAAATAATACACATACAGAGAAATGAAAGCGGGGGAAACCAATACAGGCGTCTCAATTCGATGTATATGTGTGAGTGATTGCGTGTGTGCACACCGATGATGATGCTTAACAATGATTTGTTCGGAATTCGTTGCTCCGCGTTCAGTATTTTCGGCTGTTTCTGTTTAGTTTGAATGTGATTGTGATTATGTGCTGACGCTTGTTTGTCTTTTCCTTCGGAACAGAAAAAATAAATATATCATATTCATAAAAATATTCTGATCGAATTTTTTTTTCTCGATGTGTGGTTAGTGTGCGATTGTTCTATATAGTACGATTTTGTTTATATACATATTTTTTCGTGTTATTTTTTTACTATGTTTTAACACTTTGTGCTTTACCTATCTCTTACATTTAATTTGAGTTCAAATTTTTTTGTTCCTGTTATTCTGACCATTTTAGTGTGTGACACGCAGTGAATAAAGTAACTAGCGGAAACGATCAATCAGAAAAATATTTTTTGTGCACGATTTTAAAAACGAATCATAACTTTTTCGTTCTATTCAGTTCGATTGGCGCTACTTTTTTTCTCCAATATTTATTTTTGTTCATTAAAATTCCTTATCTCGGGCAGACACCAACAGTTTGTAAGAAATGTAAATAAAGCGATTGTGTAATAAATTACCAGTATCAGCCGCATATACGTTATCGTGAAAGTGAATTCAAAAAATTTCGGTCAAATCGCGGTTCATTTACGCTATTTTAAATGCGTCGTTTATTAGAGAGAGAGAGAGAAAATCATTCGAGTAATTCTTATTTATCACTAAAGTTAATTCTGTGTACGTGATTATTTCGATTTGATGGGTTTTTTCTCGTCGAGCCAAATATAAGAGAAAATTTGCCAGAAATAATTTTGTTTTTGTTCTTTTTATGCAGCACTTTTATGACTCAAACTTAATTTGTTCCATAACGTAAAAAACTATTGCCAAATTCAAAAGCAAAGGGTTATAACAGTGAATTGCTTCTTTTAATTTCTTTTGAAAACGAAAAGAACAATCAAAAGCCATAAACATATACACATATTAATATTCATTGAATTCAGAAAGATAAAAGCGTGACTAAATTGCATGCATTTATTACATGCGAACTCTTTTTTTTTAAATGACAGTGAATGTGTGCTCCGTCGCATGAACCGTTGTAGTGGTTTGCCCGACCGTCGCTAGTGTGACCGCGATATTCGATTTCATTTTCATTTTTTTTAATTCTCTGTGTTTGCGTTTATGTTGTTGTTGTTTTCGGTCAACCATAAAAAAATGAAATTCAAGCAAAATGCTCAATTCCATCATTAATGTTTAGCAACATTAGTGTATTTTGAAATCCAATGTCTCGTCTGCAAATTGCATTTTAACATATTCATTTCTTCCATATTTCTATCGTTTAAAATGAATAACCAAAACAAATGATAAAAGTGCCATAGTTCACTGTGTTTGACAACAGAAGAAGAAGAAAAAATGAGAAAATATTCATTTTAGGTTTTATATTTCGTTACACATTTTTAATGGTTTTATTTTGTTTTGCAGATTATCGAAAAAGTTGATATAACTATATATTGATTGTGCGTGAAAGAAAGGGGAAGAGCAAGAAAAAAAACAACGGTAATAAAAGTTATAGTGAAAAATTGAAAAGTAAACAATTTTGAATGTATTCAATTGATAACATATCGGCTATACCGTAAGCCGATAAAGAAGTGTCGACACACAAAACGGCAGATAAAAAAATTGACCAAGCAAAAAAAAAATAGAGTAGAAATTCGTAACGCAGTGTACAAGTGTGAAATTTGAAACGTAATAAAATAACACAGCAACAATTACTAAGTTTGACGGAAAAGAAAACACGCGAAAAATCAAAACAGTCACAAAATGAGTGTACAACCGAAACGACAACAGTGTTATTTATGTGATTTGCCGCGAATGCCATGGGCAATGATCCATGATTTTAGCGAGCAAGTATGTCGTGGATGTGTGAATTATGAAGGTGCCGACAGAATTGAATTGGTTTTGGATGGTGCACGGCAAATGAAACGGGTTCATTCAGCTACTAAACGTGGCCACGGTGAAAATGGTGAGGTCGCCACACATCGTAGCAGTTCAAGTGCAGCAGCAGCAGCAGCCGCTGCAGCGGCCGCTGGCTTAGTTGCACCATCAGCCCATCATCATTCATATTCATTGCAAGCATCACAGCCCGGTGGCACCGGACCACGTTTATTGGATTTTACTCCAAAAATGGAACCACACGATACTGGTCGTCCAGTTCGCATTCACATGCCAAATGCTCCACATCATATGCCAATTGCTGGCCGGGTACAACCCCAAGCTCCACAGCCGCCATCATCGCAACAACAACAACAGCAACAACAACCATCAGCACCACCATCTCAAGCCCCATCACAACCATCACCACAACAAATTCCACCCGTAAGTTGCTTTGCATAAACGTAAATCTTATGCCATTGCTGATTATACTAATACAAACATTTATTAAATGTGCGCACAGAGTTTGTCAACGGTTGGATTAAAGCGGCCATCTGAAGACGATGAACAAGAAAGTGGAAGTTCAAAGCGGATTATGTCCGAAGATCAAGTACGCCCACCATTGAGTCGCGGTGATTCGTTGCCAACACCATTTGGCGGTGATCGTCAACCAAATTTCAAGGATAAACATCCAATTCGTGCTCCCTCATTCGACACGGCAACATTCAAAGCAAGCAGTAAGTACTGTTATTCCATCGCATCACATCTAAGTGTGCAATCTTCTTTCTTTCGTTTTGTACGCTTCTTTTTATTTCATTGCCTTTTTCATACCACATCAATAGTAGCTACCAATTCATCAATACATTTTCTGTGTACATTAACAGCATTTCCAATGCCATTTTTATGATGTTATCGATGTATTTTTTTTTTGATAAACTTCACAAATGAATTCAAATTTGGTCCAACCATTTGAGACTGGTTATTATTACAGTTACATTTATTTTCCCGCGCATTTCGCGGACAACTCAAACCGAATGAGTTGAGCTCATGTTTCTTTGCACTTTGCATCAGTTTTATAGGAATAGAAAATTACTCAACAGGATTTCCCATTCGAATTTGAAGAAGAAATCCAACACAACAAACCACATATGAAATATTTGGATAGTATTATTGCTACTGCTGTGATGTTTTCGCAAAACTGGTCATTTAAAAATGTTGGTTTAAGTCCATTTTTTCGTATATGTTTTTTACATTTCTCGTTTTCAACGAAAACATATGTGCAATTCTACCGAAAACAGGTTTATTTTTAAATGACACTTCTCGTCATATTTACCAGAAATATATATCGAGTTATCTCCAGCTTTTTGTGTATGAGTTGAATCAAAAGTCATTTCACGCCGGTTTTGCAGTTAAAGAGATAGCGAACTATTTACCAATCACGTTTTACAAAATTGTTGTTGAGATTTATAATTATAATCGCATGTGAAATAGATGTCGCGTATTTGAAAAAAAACACAAAATTCTTTTATCAGTGTGCGTCATAAAGATACGCGGCCTCATAAAATACTCAAACGGCCGGGTTTTTGTCATTATACATAGATATAGAAAATGCCGATCCACAATCGCAAATATTTACGAATGAAAATTAAAAGAAGGCTAATTTGAGAAGAAGAAAAAAAAATCGACATTTGATCACGCTTCAGCAAATACGCGTTGAACACAGTCGCACTCTCTATTAGTTTCTCAACAAATAAAAGCGGATTTCATGCCACAAAGACACAATTTTTGTAGGTTTCTTTTTGTATGTGAAAGACGGATGTATTGAGTTGATGTGTGCGTGTTGAATCTACCTGTTTTCTCTTCAATTCAAATTACAAACGTCGTCATCGCTCGTTGCTGTTGTCGTTGGTGCTGCTTATTTTATCAAGATAAATACAAGATTACGTGTGTGTCTGTCGTCATCTCTCTCACAACGTGTTCACCGCGCTTTGAAGTATTAATCTTTGGCTTTCTATACCGCACACAACACACTTGTTATCAATGCATGCATTAGCTACCACAAATTGGCATTCTATTCTAAACGCTTTGTACTACGATAACACACTTTGCATGCTTTTTGGCAACATTTTCCAAGTCGGAATTGTTGTATTACATAAATATGTTTCGCTTACAAGATACAACATTGTTCTTTGCTGCACGGCATGTTAAATATTTAAACTCATTGAAAATCAAATGAAATAAGAATACAGCAGCAACGAAATGAAACCACGATTAACCGAACATTCCGTATGTTCGAAAGTGGAAAGACAAGTTTGATGAACTAAAATTTGACACGATTGTTCAGTCTCTTTGGCAATGTAATTATAATTACAAGCAGTGAGATTCATCGTTGCCGTTCCGTGGTCGTTCATATCGCAGTCAAGCTATTATACGTGTTTTACTCGTTTCTTCTCATTTCATCGCATCTCAAGCAAAGAAAATATTTTTTCGATGGTTGCCAATGCACTATGATGTGTTGCTCTCTCTCTCTCTCTTGCTTTGTATTTAAGTGCGCGCCCGTTTTCGTATCTTTTCAACCGTTTTCTGTGGAAGTATGTCAAATCACGTATGTGTATGCATTGCACGACTACTAAGTTTCAATCAACGAACTGAAGAAAAAAAACCATAAAGAATTCTTTTCGTGCCGGTGCATTCACTAAAAAGTCATGTCTCTCTAACTCGTTTGAGATACCCACAGACATTTTTAAAAACATGTTTTTTTTTTTTGAACAAAAAGAATATCTCTCTTTTCAATGTTTTCTCAAAATTTACTATAGTATACTTGAAACTATTTCTTTTGTGAAAAGAAATTATTATGATAAAAAAAAAATTCCACTCAATCGCAAGCCAACTACATGCGACCATTCCAACCACATTGTCTGCATTTGAAACAAAATAATGGTGGATACATGTCTTCGTCTATTCATCGGAGAAAATCCGAAGCTTAAGAATATTGAATCTCTTTAGCAATGGCATTTTCCATTTCAAATCCACTTCGATTTGACACATTTATAAAATTATAAATGTGCACAAGTGCATTGATAAAATACATTCCGTACATATTTCATTCTTTTTTTTTGAAACTAGTGATTAATTTAGAACGTAATGATAAATTGCACATTTTCAATTATCTGGAGCATATTTCACTTTTCTCTATTACCACCAGTAATCGGATAATAATCTTATCTTATCACTATCGCGCACAAATGCTCATCAGATAACTTGATAATAAAAATGAGTGAAACGAAAAAAAAAAAAAAATAAGAAATGGGATTGAGTGAGTGTGAGTGTTGAAGGAAATCGAGATAATATAAGAAAGTAAACATGATTTTTGATGATAACCAATACTGTAAATAAATTCATTTTTCTTCGAAATGGCAATAATTCGTTTTAACAGCAGAAAATCGTGGTTCGTTTCTTCGTCTATTGCATGAAACGATTTCATGTTTAACATCAGTTTTGACTGGGCGAGCGATTTTTTTTTAAATAAACAAATATATAAGTAAGAAAAAATCGCCCACCAACAATGTTTACGTACAAAACTCGTTGGTCTGTCTATGTTTATGTAAATGCTTAAGTATACAATTTATCAATTGTAATAATATTTGATAGTTACAGTGACGGCCGCAACAGTATCACCCCGAGAAAAATACGATTGCAAGTAATAAACATACGACACAGCAATGGTTTCATTGTCAAAACATCAGATTACCCATGCAAATGTGTGAATCTTCTGAATTAGTGTATGAGTTGCGGCCAAATGAAAAAACACTATCTCAAAATGTGTGTGTGATTTGTTATAATCGGTTTTTTTTAATTTCCATACCATTGTTGATTAATTTTTTTTGTATACACGCTGCAAGCTATATAAATTAGCTGGTATTTACTCGGAATTTCAGTTACAAATAAAACAATCATTCATACAATTGAATATATGTTCGAAGAATAATGATGATTACGGCCATAAAATTGTATTCTCATTTCAACTCGGCATTTTCTCTCATTTGAAAATTCCACGCTCAAGATTCGCTGATTTGTACTGTCTCTCACTCACACACTCACACCACATACTATATATAACGGAAGCACGATATAAACAATGTGCGGTGGCCACTTTTTCGTATTGGGTCTGTGTATGCTTTGGTTTTGTTTCATTAAGTTCGTCATTTCGTGTCTATGTTTATACAATATACTGACAATGTGTTTGTTTGCACAGAATATTTCGCGCTTAGAATTAAATTGCGAAGACTCATGCACGTTTGCCTTATTTTTTCTCTTTCGTTTCGTTTGTGCCAAAATGACGTGAAGGCGCGATATTTTTATTTTTAGATTTATTCTTTTTTTCTTTCGTTTTCAATGTGTATGTACGCTTACAAAGCATTTCGTGGCATACACAAGAAGTACAATGGTCGCGCGAAACAAACACATTCAATTTTTTTTTAAATACAATGTAACGTTCTACGATCATTCGTATTCATTTCCATTTGGTTCCGATCGCGTATTTTGTTTGCTCTTGTCGTTTTTTTCCCTCTATCGTTGCCATCGTGTGTATTTTAAAGTTTAAAATTAGAATCGAATTGAAGCAAAGACGATGATGAAAAAAAGAACGTCATATACGCACACGAGTTTTTCGCTTGAGAACAGAGAGAAATACGAAATTTTAAGAACGCCATATATTTTATTTCGAATGTGTATACACATGGAACCGGGTCGTTAATCATTATTTCACTCGTTTGATGTAAGTGAGCGGTTTTTTTTTTCTTTCACTGCTGATCACTAGCTATGAGTACTTAGTTTTCATTCTTTAATTTCTAGTTTATGTATTATTCTTTGCATTTCTTCCTTAAATTTCATTTCATCAAACGCACTTTTTTTACGTTGGATTCATCGGTTGTACGAGACACAATTCATTTCATATGTACCATAATAAATGTGTAGACAACAAACATCTGCTCACCGAGCGTAGTGAAAGAGAGATCAAGGTTCTGAGTTCGCTTTTAAAATGAAATCCGAAATAAAAGAAAAGAAAAACAAACTCTCTTCCGATGGAGTTTCGAAGTTGAACGAAAATAATTTCGATATAATTTGAAATAAGACCAAAAAATACAAATGAATGGATCCCGTTAGGTTCTTTCGACGAAAAACGATTACAATGGATTTTCTCTCTGTGTCTCTCTTCATTTTATTCTCTCATTTCAATAGCTTGGTTCTTTGATCTTTAAGTGACTTACATTTTTACCAAAAGTACAATTTTTGTTGGGCAATTCGTTTTATTTTTCTCATTACTCTTTTTGATTAACTGGATAATAACGAAAGTTGAACTCATTTCTCATGTACATACAAACGAGAAAATAACGCTTGAAATAAGCGTTAAATAAATGAAATTCATATACACAAGCATTGCATACGAATTGTCGTAAAAAGGTTTATGCATGAACAAAGGGAAATGGAATCTTGTAACACAATCAAATATGAGCCAAAAAAAGAAAAAAATTGTTCAAATTCGAATCATTTAAATTGTCAACGACACCAACATTCATTTGGCAGAGAATTTCACATGCACACATTTTTATGTAAAAAAAAAGGAAAATACAATGGATTTGGACATGGAAACAGCATAGATTTGGTCATTTTCAAATGAGAAATGCACTTTTACAAGAAATGTGCATGCGACGAACGAACGAAAGACATACGTAAG